AGGCTGCAGCACCTTCTCTGAGTGATTTAGCTAGAGACATAAGAGACAGGGCAAGGCCTGGCATCAAGAGCTTTCTAGGCCAGGAAGAGGCTGTTACTAGGCCCTTTCCTTTGTGAAGTATCCCCAGGCCTGATGGGATCCCGGGATTGCTGGATCTCAAAAGATGGAAGGGAACCTCTGCAGTGGAAAAAAGGAATTTCCAGGTGCATACCTGTCCTAGCCCAAGCCAGCTGTTTCCTTGACCTGGATCATTATTATTATGACTTCTTGTTAGGTAGGGGCCAAAGGGGCCTGTGTTAGGGGATTACAAACAAATTTTTTTTTTTACAGGTTCTCATTTTGTAGCTGGTGGTTTGAATGAGAATATCCCCATAGGCTCAAATATTTGAATGATTGATATCCACTTGGTGGAAGTGTCTGGGAAGAGTTAGGAGGTGTGGCCTTGCTGGAGAACTTGTGTCACTGTGGGCAGGCTTTGAGGTTTCAAAAGCCCACACCATTCCCCGTTAGCTTTCTCTCTCAGATTCCTGTTTGTAGATCAGGATGTTAAGTCCTCAGTGTTACTGCTCCAGGGCTATGCCTGCCTGCCTGCTGCTATGCTCCCTGCTCTGACCGTTATGGACTTGCCCTCCGAAACTGTAGGCCCCAAGTAAACTTTTTCTGTAAGTTACCTTGTCATGGTGTCTTAACACAGCAATAGAAAAGTAACCAGGCAGTCGCCTAGGCTTGCCTTAAATGTATGCTCCTCCAGCCTCAGTCTCTCATGCTGGGATTATAGACATGTGCTGTCATGCTCAGAGTAGAGCAGTGGTTTCTAAGTTTTGCTTTGCAGAGGAATCATGAGAGCCAGCATAGGATCTAATCAAATGCATCTGGCTAAACCCATTACCAAAGATTTCAACTCATTTGATTTGGGGTTGGTAAAATTCAGGATTCTGCGCTCTTAGTAGGCACACACAGTATTCAGATGTGGCTGGACTTGGAGCTCACATTGTGACTCATCCCATGAGGCTGTGGTACTTGAGGCTAAGGATGTAAGCTGGACTCCAGTTACATGGGAGGTGATGTAATAGACGTTAGAGAATAACTAGAGATCAGAAACTGAACTGAGCTGAATGGCTGCATGCTTTCTTTGGTTAGAATTGGCTTGGGGAAAGGATTGGAGAGATGCTTCAGCAGTTAAGACCACTGACTGCTCTTTCCAAGGACCTGGGTTCAGTTTCCAGTATCCACATGGCAGCTCACAACCATTTCTAGCTCCAGTTCCAGGCTGTCTAATGCTCTCTTCTGGCCTCTATAGGCACTGCATGCACATAGTGCATATCACACACGCAGGCAGAACACCCACACACGTTAAAATAAATGAATTAGTAAAAAAACGTAAGTATTGGTTTGGGAAATGGAAGGTGGAAGTTTTTGATGCCCGCAGCTCAGAGTTTCTGTCTACCATAGTCAGCAATACCATTCCACCTTCCATCACAGTTGCATCTGATGATTCCCTGATTTTTTTGCCATGGAAACCCCTTTGATTGGATACACTGGAACAATAACCCTTTCTTGACAGCACTGCTCATTGGGCATCACATGATGACATTAAAAAGAATGTCTTTTCGTAGACCCAGTTACATGTATGTGAACACACACACACACACACACACACACACACACACACGCACACGCGCACGCGCACGCGCACACGCACACACGCGCGCGCACACACACACACACACACATTTTGAAACAGGTTCTTGATCTCAGGTTGATCTTGACCTTAACATCATCCTGCTTCCATTTTCTGAGTTCTGGAATTACAGATGTGTGCCATCTACACACAGCTGCACTCCTAAGCTGAATTTTACTCACTTCGCAATTAACGTTAGTGCCACTACACAGAGTATCTTAGTGAAGCAGAGAAGTTAACTCTTGGCATGAAGAGGATGGGGAGGGATGAGGGAGGGCACTAAGGAAGGACGGGCAGGGGTTAACATGCATTTGACAGGAGAGGTGAGTGGGTGGGGGAGTGTTTGTTTATAGGGTCAATTGGTGCTGACCTGGGAGCTCTGAGGTATGGAGGCTGAAGGAGAGGGTAAACCATAGGTTATCTGGGATGGATGAAAAATTCCAGTAGTGACATTCAGGCTATTCAGGAGTAGTAAGTGGAATACGTGTAGAGGTTTATCCCTTTCAAATTCGGGGCCCTGGGTGTAGGATAGGAATTTTTTGGTGGCAGGCAGGGTTGGGCTCCTCCTCATCCACTAGAGGATGTTTGACAGTTTTTGGAGTGGCAGATGTCCGACAAAAAACCACTCTAAGGATCTCAGAAAGACAATTTGTTCACTAGCTCACTCACTCACTCATTTACTCATTTCTTTAGAGACCGAATCTCCACTGGATTGGGAGCGCTGTTCTAGGCACCGGGAACTCTGTAACCACGACAGTCAGTCCCTTCAGTTCATACGGTAGCTAGGACATTAAACTAGCGAATAAATAGTATACAGTGCAATGTTGGGTTGTGAGAGTTCTGTGAAGGAAAGTAAAGTGAATAAATGTGGAGTGATGATTTCAGATTGGGCACAGATGAGGCAGAACATCTTTGAAGGAATGACATTTGAGAAGGGACCTCAATGGAGAGGTGATCCCTGTGGACACCGGAGAGCTGTGTGGCCCAGGCAGAGTGTTTTCATCCGGGGCCTGACATCATCTAGGCAAGTCTTGGGCCTGTGGGGATGTCCATGGCTGTGGTGAGGGAGACATGCTGGATGGCTTGGGCTCTGCTGTGAGACATCCCTGATTCACTGTATCGGGCAACTAGCTTACTGCTCTGAAACTATTGGTCCATATCTTTGTAGAAAATACTTCTTACTATGTAATATTTCATTTACATGCTGTGGGGTGAGTTTTTTTATTCTTTTTATTATTGAGAGTGGTGGGGGCACAGAAGAATATGTGTGTGGGCACACATATGGAGGTCACAGGACATCTGGGAGTCAGTTCTCTCTTTCTACAATATGGATCCTAGGGATTGAACTCATGCCGTCATGTTTGGTGGTAGGCATCCTTACCCATGAGCCTTCTCACCAGGCCTCTATTCTCTTTCTCTCTCTCTCTCTCTCTATATATATATATATATATCTATATCTATATCTATATCTATATATATATATGTGTGTGTGTGTGTGTGTGTGTGTGTGTGTGTGTGTGTGTATATATATATCCATTTTTTTTCTTTTCTTTCTATTTTTTTTTTTTTTTGAGACAGGCAAGCCTCGAACTTAGAGATCTACCTGCCTCTGCCTCTTGAGTGCTGGAACTAAAGTCGTGTGCTGCTACACTTAACCTAAAAATCCAGAAATATATATATATATATATATATATATATATATATATATATATATATATATATATATATATATATATATCCCAGGCTGGACTTGAACTCCTTGACCCGCCTACCTCTGCTTCTTTGGCATATTCTACTGGCATGTATCATCACAACTGTTGTAATTCTTAACAATTGTTGTTCTCATTGCTTTAAGTTAACATACAAAGAGTGAGTTTCATCATGGCATTTCACTTCCCTTACACTTCCTTTTTTCCCCTCTCCCACAAACAGTCACAGAGTTAGTGTCCTTAGAGCGATGCTCATGGAACCCAGACTCTGCCTTTGCTGTAGATGAAGGGTGGGCAGCATGCAGGAACTCTGACACCAGAGACCTGAGAGAGACCAGGACCCATGCTGGCAAGTTAAGGCTGCAGTAGTGTGTGACCCACTCTCAGAGTCTGGATGTAAAGCATCCCCAGCATGCTCCTGTGTGTCTGAACATTTAGTTCTTAGCTGCGGTGCTGTTTAGGAAGGGTGTGGGACCTAGCTGGAGGAAGTGGGTCTCAGGGAGCAGGCCTTGATAATTGCAGCCTGGCTCCACTTCCTGTCCTATCTCTGCTGTCTGATCTGAAAATGCAAGGAAGCCGCTCGCTCCCAACCCTGCTCCCGCAGCTGTCCTTGCCACTGTACCTTCTCACCCACGGTAGCCTGCCCTCAAACCCGGAGCTGGGGGATTCGTCTGCCCTTAAGTGGCTTCTTGTTGAGTGTTTGGTTGCAGCAACAAGAAAAGTAACTATTCATCCACTCCCGTGTCTCTCCCCAGCTAAAATTCCCCCGATTTGATCTGGAATATCCTGCTTGTTTGAGCTTTGGCTGATATATAGTATCTTACTTATTCTTCAACTACATCAGTAAGGTAGGGATTCACCAATAACCGTGAAACGGATGCATTGATTTGTGTTTTCTCATTTATGCTGTGGAGTGGGTGAATTCAAGCGTTGTCTGGACTCCAGCCTCCCTCTGCCTGCCACAGCCATGTGGCAGCACTCCTTTTCAGCTTTCTCCTAGGCTTCTGGAAAAACCAGGATGCTTGAGAATGACCTGCTCCTGGAGCGGTCCTTGACCGAAGGCTGTCTGTGGTCCCACAGTGCCAAGGCAGTGTCTTTGTCTCTTGCTGGGACAGCTGTGGAGTGCACCCTCCAGTCCCTGCAGGATTAGGCTGAAGCAGCCTTCTCTGTGGATACATCCTGCTTGTTTGTCCATGTACTGTTCCTGCTTCCCTGATTCCCTTGATTTTCTGGGGAATACGGGTGTGGGCTACACTGGAGTAGAACATTATCCACTGCATGTGATTCTGAGAGAGAATTCAGAAGCCATATCTAGGGATGACAGCTCAGTTCAGAGTACAGGGGATCCCTGTCAGGCTAGTGATGTGCCATCTTGAGCTACACTGACTTCATTCGAGAGCTCTTCTTCATGCTAGGCATTGAATTCGCATGTAGAAGGAACCAATGGGGAAGATTTCAAGAAGTCAGCGTGTCAAATGATTCCATTTCTATGTTGGCAATAGGTTCAGGTTCACTTCACTGTTGGAGCAGCAGATGACTCTAAAAGGGGATCTGTTCAGGTCTGGAACCCGGAGTCCCAGGAGGATTCACATCACAGGTCTCTCTTCTAGGGCCATGTTCTGCAGCGACTTAAAGGAGAAGTATGAGAAGAGGATCGTCATTAAAGGGGTGGATGCTGAGACCATGCACACTCTCCTGAACTACACGTACACAAGCAAGGCTCTGATCACCAAGCAGAATGTTCAGCGGATTCTGGAGGCTGCCAATCTTTTCCAGGTGTGGGAACCAAGTTCTGTGCTCTTCTTTGAAGTGAATGAAAGCAGGGAGCCCCCAGAGACCTGCTTAGGCTGGCTTCCAGAGCTGTATCTGGAATTTACACACACACACACACACACACACACACACACACACACACACACACACACCAGAGAAAGAGAGATACAGAGAGACAGAGACAGAGATAAACAGAAACAGAAAGACACACACAAAGACAGACATACAGAGAAAGAGACACAGACACACACATACACACACACACACACACACACACAGGGATAGAGAGAGAGGGAGTGAGAGAGCAAGCAAGCTTACCTGAAGGTCAGAAGATGCTCGTTCTTCAGGCACTTATTGACAGGTGATGGGCTGGAGTGTTGCCTGTGTCACCAAATAAAGCCGGGGGTAGCGGGTGGGGGGCGTGCGGTGGGCTGTGGTGCCGTCGGGGGCGGTGCCTTGGGGGGCGGTGCCGTGGGGGGCCCGTGGGCTGTGGTGCCGTGGGCTGTGGTGCCGTGGGCTGTGGTGCCGTCTGATTGCAGCCCAGCGGCTGCCAAGTGTTGCAGCCCAGCAACTGCCAGTGGTGCAGCAGTTCCTCCTGTACACAACGTTGGATCTTATCGTGAGTGAGACACGGAATTAAGGCGATGCAGAGGACGCCTGAAAGTGCTGTGGTTTGAAACCGTATTTTCTGATTGAAGAGACTGCTGCTTGCCGTCACACCACGCAGCTTTCGGGTGATGCTGTCCAGATATGGGGGAACCGCGATACTGTGTGACAAGCACTTTGTGGTGTCTGTGAAAGAAGAGCGTTGAGAGGCAAGAAGTGTCACAGAGGAGGGAGGACTTCAGAATTACACGTTATTTTAAAGTAATGCATTGTTTCTAGTCAATAATATTTGCTTCATATGATTGTAGCCATTACACTAGCTTCATAAAATAATTAGACTATGGATAATATCAGTTGTATCAATAATTATAACAAGGGTCCCACCCAAGTTATCATCTTTGCCTAGGTCTAGGATCATACTAACTTGATTCCACTGAATTAATGTTGTCTCATTGCCTAGAAGTGGGAGAGAAAGAGTCCAGGTGTAGTCCAGGTCACTTCCAGGGACCAGAGAGAAGTGTCAGATCTTGTGCATGGCTTGGTCTTGTGGAGGTGGTGTGTGCTTGTGAGATAATGAACTTGGTAGTCGAAGGGAACAGAACCCAGAGTCTGAGAAGGTAAGTATCTCCGAGGGGCTCAGGGTCCAAGATTATTGGCAGTGGGATTAGCTCTGTTGAGGGTAGAGTCAGCGAGGGATTTGTAAGGTCTGACAAAAGACAGGATCAGGAAAAGGAAATAGAAAATCCACTCCAAAGCAGCCCCGAGGGATTTTGAATAACAGGTGGCCACCAGTTTAGTAAGTTTCATTGGCTCAGTTCCCCAGGGCATCCTGAAGATGCCAGGCCAATTATTTCTGGCTGGGCTGATTTTCTGATGTCCCCAAATCAGTTAACACTCACTGCCCTGACTCTCTCTCTGTGTGCTCACCATCAGCCTCTTTGACTGACAGGAAACCATTCTTCCTGATGGGGAGGAGGCACTCACCTACTTCATGCTCAGTGTTTATAGTTCGTCTGCTCCTGCCCACTATCCAACAATATGCCCTCAGAGCAACCTTTTTGTGTCGAGGAAGGATTCTGTGTCAGGGAAGCTCCAGCAGTCCCTGTTATTTTCATGCTCATTTCCTTTACTGGGACGTAGGGAGGGATGCCAACTTGTCTAAAGATGGGAACTGGCAATAGTAATAGCTGTGACATTTATTGTTACAGATACAGTGTCTGACACCAAAGTAGAAACTCAATGAATGCAAATTTTATTTTTTCTGAATGACCAAGTCTGGAGTAGTCATCAAGTCTCCCGATTCTCTCACAGTCTCAAAGCAGGTGTCACACAATAAAAAAGATCTACTTTTCTTTTTAAATGTGCTTTTTAGTATTTTTATTTGTACTATTTTTATGTGTGTGTGTGTGTGTGTGTGTGTGTGTGTGTGTGTGTGTGTGTGTGTGATATGATGTGTGTGCCCATGCCAACAGAGACCAGAAGAGTGTGTCAGATTCCCTGCAGCTAGACTGAGTAGCCGTTGTGAGCTGACTGATGAGGATGCTAGGAACCAAACTTGGGTCATCCTGCTGAGCCAACCTTCTAGTTCTCCCTAACCCCCAGACTCAGTTCTGGGGTGTGTTGGGGGGTTGTCCTGGGGCAGCTGCTTTGTATGTCAGCTGATCTGCAGAGCTGGGGTTCATAGGAGTGTGTTGGATAAGCGTGTATTGGAGTGGGGCATCCTGCAGCCTGTAGCTTTACTAGTTGGGGTGTGTAAGGAGCACTGTGTGTACTCTAGCTGTCAGAAGGGCACACCCTCCTACTTCCTGGGTCAGGGAGTGTGCCCAGCAGTAAGTGGCTTTGCTTACGTCATTCATCTGTTTGTATCCTAACCCAGGTGCGTTGTTTCTTCTTTGAACATACTTATAATCACTCGTTTGAGTTCTCTGTCTGGGATTTCATTTAATTCACCCTCACTAGATGTCATACTGTGGAATTAATTTTTGGAGGAATTATGCTATCTTGGCTTTTCACATGTTACGTCCTTGGACTCTGTGTACTTGGTGCTATTTCTTTGCATGGTTTAGTTTTTTTTTTATCAGCTGTTTTCTTTTAGTTGAAGTATTTGCAATATTCACATGAGACTTAGGTGTGGTAGAATTGAGTGTTCAGAAAATAGTTCCATAGTCCAGCATCTCAGAAGGCCTGGTGTCAACTATATATTACTGTTGGAGTAGGCTATTAATTGTGAGAGTGACCACGTTGACATTTTGATGTTTGATATACTATGCAGGTGTTGTACTACACACACACACACACACACACACACACACACACACACACACACACACAAACACACACAATGAAAAGTTCTTAAAATGAATAAATAATCTAAATAGATACTCCTCAAAAGAAGACCTATAAATGGCTTTTTTAAGGCAGACATTTCTTCTGGTAACTGTAGCCATGTCTCTTTGATGGTATTTTAGGAGTTCCTGTGTGGTCGTGTCTCTTTGGTGGTATTTTAGGAGTTCCTGTCAAAGAGTCAGGTGTTTACTGTAACTTTTTATTCACTCATCCCTCTAAACAGGGAATTGGCTACCTGTGGCTATTATTTGTCATCTCTCAGTTCTCAAAATGGAGTTCCAGGAACAGCATGCTGGAAATTTATCCAAAGGCAAATAATATAAAACACAGTTTCTTGTTCTCATGACTGCCTTGCATGCCAGCAAATTCCTAGCTACTGGCTGGATCACTCTGAAGTGCTTGCTGACACATATTTGGGGAGAACTTAGGCAGTCAGAGAAATCTGACTTCCCCTGTGGTCATAAGGTCTCTTGAGATTCTCCTGGCTTTTTCTTAGCTCGTCAGTGCAAGCCTGCCCTCTCGTTAGCAAGCAGGCAGCTAAGGGAACATCTCGCCTCCTGCTATGTCTTTTACTCCAAATTCTCTATTTTCTCCTCTCTACAGATGTGATCTGAATATCCTATTTACTAATAAAATAAAAGCGATCCACTAAAAATAGTTTGTTAAGTGCAATGACAGATGAAGAAGCGCACGGGTCTGAGTGCATTCCTGATGTCTAGTACATGTTTTCTTCCTCTATCTGGCCTTTCTAACTTGTCTGCTGTCAGACTTTTGTAGTAGATAATGCTGGAAATAAAAACAAAACCATGACCTAGAACCTTTGAACTGCTTGACCTGGCTGGGCAGAGCACCCAGCAGAGCTGTTACAGGAACCTCCACAGTGAGGCTGAGGAAGGGATGAGAAGTGGTTCCACATCAGAGAATTAATAATAATTTTTCATGTCTCCGTATACTAGTGCTTATAAACATTTCTCTGACTTAATTTGTTGCTTAGATCGGGCATCCCAATATGGTCCATGCTTGGTAGTAAGTTGATATATCTCCTAAATCTCTCCTCTTTAACATTTTTATTCTTTGATAATTTATACATATAATTACATGCATATAATATGTTTCTTGATCATATTTACACCCTGTTTCTCCTCTAACTCCCTCAGGACCCACCCTGACCCTTCATCCCTCCTCCCAACTTCACGATCCCCCCTTTTTAAAAACAAGCCACTGAAGCCAGCTTGTGCTCTGCATAGACTCATGGATGTAGGCGGAGCTCTTGCCCTGCACTGCCTCCTCCTTCCCTCCCTGTTTTGCATTTGTAGCGTATTTACAGAAGAAATTAAACCCATTGTTCCATGGAGTTTCCCACCATCTCGATGTGGCAGAATGTGTGTTCATGCTATCATATGTCTACTTCTATATTTTTTCTGTAAATTTATGATTAGATCTAGAGGCTTAAATTTAGGAAATATAGCTCGATGGCAGAGCACTTGCTTAGTTAGCACATGCGATGCTGCATGTTCCACCCCCAGCACTACGAAGTAAACAAAAATAAATCCAGACATGTGATCAGATTTAGTGAACTGATTTGAAAACCCAACACATTACATTTTCCACGTGACTTAATGTAATCTGATGAGATGTTTTTAAATTATTCATGGAGTTGTTGGCTGTGAGACTGTGTTGGACATTAGGCTGTTTCTAAGTTTTTGCTGGCACACACTGATCAATGTTCTTGTGGACTAATCATTTCCTGGCTCCCTCCCTTCTGTTAGTTTCTGCAGCTGGTGGACGCCTGTGCCAGCTTCCTCACAGAAGCCTTGAACCCAGAAAATTGCATTGGAATACTGAGGCTGGCGGACACACACTCCTTGGACAGTTTAAAGATGCAAGTTCAAAGTTACATCATTCAAAACTTCGTTCAGATTCTGAACTCTGAGGAGTTCCTGGAACTTCCGGTGGATACCTTGTATCACATCTTAAAGAGTGATGACCTTTGTGTGACCGAGGAGGCTCAGGTGTTTGAGACGGTGATGAGCTGGGTCCGGCACAAACAGTCAGAACGACTCTGCCTCCTCCCTTGTGTTCTCGAGAACGTGCGCTTACCGCTTCTGGACCCGTGGTACTTCGTGGAGATGGTTGAAGCAGATCCTCTCATTAGACAGTGCCCTGAGGTCTTCCCACTGCTACAGGAAGCCAGGATGTACCACCTTTCTGGCAATGAGGTAGGTTGGATGTGAGAGGTTGCTGCATTTCATCAGCAGTGTAAGGAGTTAGCCAGGGCTCTCAGAAATGCAAGTACCCTTGCTCACAAATTCCCAGGACGGCAAGCAGAGGAGTCAGTCGTTCCAGAAGCTGGGGATCCCTGATCTGTATAGTGAGGATGATAGCACATCTTCACACAGCTGTGGGGAGGATTTAGTGAGAAATGGAAACCTCTCGGCACGGTGCCTGTCACATCCTTCCTCTGCCCAGTTGTGTGTGGTCCCATCCAGTCACCCTTCGGAAGGGGTTCTACTTCCTTAAGTTCTCCCACTCTAGTGAGAATTTTGTATCTGTTCTAGTCTGACATTGCCTAGATCCAGAGTCTATCATTTCTTTCCTGAACTCATAGAAATTCTCTAGACCTCATCACTGTGCTCCCAGTCCGGTCTCCGGCCAACTCCTCCCCACTGCTGGGATGGTGGAAGATGGAGTGTGAACTTTGCTCCTGGCCTGACCTTTTCCCTGGCTCTCCATCACTTCCAGGAAGCCATCCACTCTTTCTCCTAAAGTTCCCTGAGCTCTGCTCCACTAAAATACCTCTTACCCAGGTCTCTGGCATCTTTTACCACACACTTTTACTGTATATGTTTGTATTTTGTTTTTAAAAATTAAAAACAAATTTAATTGAAATCCATTTTTGAATTAAAATACAATCACAACACTTTCCCCCTTCCCATGTCCTCCCTCTAGCTCTTCTCCTATATCTATCTCCCTTATGCTCAAATTTATGGTCTCTGTTTTCTTTAGTTGTTAATGTATACATTCTGCTGCGGTTTTAACGTACTGTGTCCAGTTCCCCCAAAGGATATGTCTTTCCAGCCTTCAGGACAAGGTGGATACTGTCTAAATGCTTCCTTCTTCCTATTCCTGACTTCTGCTTCTACCCCAAAATTCAATCCGAGGTCACCTTCTCCAGAGAACCCTTTGTGTTCTTATGGCCATTGGCTCAGTCTTTGCTCATGACACCAAATGCCACATGGTAACCACTGAATTCATCATCTTGTAAATATTCTAAACTTGCAACTTGTTATAGTAGGAACTGGGTGCCCCTGGGCTTTTCTTTTTTTTTATTTTTTTATTTTTTGGTTTTTTCGAGACAGGGTTTCTCTGTGTAGCTTTGCGCCTTTTCCTGGAACTCACTTGGTAGCCCAGGCTAGCCTCGAACTCACAGAGATCCGCCTGGCTCTGCCTCCCGAGTGCTGGGATTAAAGGCGTGCGCCACCACCGCCCGGCAGGGCTTTTCATCTCTATATCTTAGGAGGAATCCCTGGTGTGTTGTGAATGTCGATGTTTATGGATGACAAAATGGGCACCGAGAAAGCATTTGCTCCTACCTGTTCTCCTTTGCAAATTTTGAAGATGTTTTTCACTCAGAATCTTGTAAAGACAAGGCCGGGTTTAGTGGGAGAGCAAGCTCACCAGGAAGCTATAGTGTAGGGCGAGTTTGCTGTTGATTTACACGCATGAAACCTCTTATGTGCCTATCACCGTGAGAAAGTTCCAAACCTCATCTGCAGGGTACAGTAGAAACCTCAGCCCAAAGTTGTTCAGGAATCGTATCTGTCTGCTACTCCTCTGGAGGATGTCCTTTATCTGTGTGGATCTCTGTATTTCTTGGTTGTTCTTAGAGCAGTTTGCTTGTCTGTCCTTCACAGGTATCCTGAGTGTTTGATATTACAGGGTTTGGCCAACCCAGAGAGGAGATTTTCACTTCAAATCACATCATGCTAACAGACACAGTGCTGCTTATGTTGTCTGTTTCTTCTCAAACTGAGTTGCAGAGAATTTTTCCATCCATACAAGTAGTGGATTTGTTGGCATAAGGATGTTCATAATTTACCCTCGTCATCAGTACTATCTGTAGACTATGTAGTGATGTGGATCTGTACTGTTTATAGAATCTGTAGTGATATAGCATCTTGAATTCCAGACAGTGGCTCTTTGTGCCCCCCACCATTGGTCTTGCTAGATGTATCATACATTTTGTTGACTTTTCTCAATAAACTAATTTCTGATTTCATTTTATTTTCTCTGTTTTTTTTCTATTGAATTTTCTTTCTATTTTGATCCTGATAGAATTCTTTTTTCTGTTTACTTTCTGGATTTGCTGTTTTTCCCTCTCTAGTTTGTTAAAGAAGAAGTTGAAGACATTGATTTGAGACCCTTCTTTCTCCTACCATTATTACCCCATATGGAATCACTACATAATGAATTACCCTACAACTTCACAGTTTAAAGCAGCAGGCAGGGATGTGGATCCATGGTAGAATTCTTGCCTCACATGCATGATGCCCTGTGTTCAATCCTACACTGCAAAAGGAAAAAGAAGAAAGTAAAACCCAGTTGGGTTGCTCTGACTAAAGTCTCTTACCAGGTGTCGGTCCATCTATTATCTATTGGCTTAGACTTCAGCAATCTCAAAATTCAGATGAGATCAGAACTTTCACATGATACTCACTCACAGTATTGCGGGCAAGCATCAGTTCCTGACTGGCTATTGGCTTGAAGCTGTGGTTTCTTGCCATGTGGTCATCTACATAGCAGATGACATTCTTCCAGAGCAACTTACCTAAGAGAGACTAAGAAAGCAATCGATATGAAAGCTTTAGTGCCTTTAGTAGTCTGGTAGAATACCACTTCTGCTGTAATCTTTTGGTTAGAGAGACTGATTCTGGACCAGTATAGAAGGAACTATATGGGCTCTGAGTTCTGGGAGGAAGACATTACTTGAGGCCATTGTAGAGACTGGGTACCACAGTGATTTGTATTGTAAAAAATAGTAGTAGACAGGGACCTTGGTGACCTGTCTTGCCCATCCATCCATTCATCCATCCGTCCATCCATTCATCTGTCAGTCTGTCCATCCATCCATCCATCCATCCACTGACTCTTAGAAACCCACAAGCGTCAGCTGTGGGGAGGGAAGGTTTGGGGACAGAAACCAGACTGATGTTGGGAAGAAAGCTGCAGAGAAGCAGAGTTTGTCTATGGCGCCAACTCATTGCTTAAGTCCTTGGTACCTTCAAGTGTCTCTGAGTTCTCAAGTCCACTGCTCCCCTCCTTACTCTGTGGACTTTCTATGCTCTCAGGCTCAACACAGTAGTGAGGATTTATCCTGTCTCATGTCTCCCCACTCTTCCTTTGAACTCACAACTAACAGGCCCGCTACAAGTGTTATGGCCACAGTCCAAAGTAAAAAACCAGAGATGCAAAATTGACTGGATCTGGCTCTTTAGCACAGAAAAACAAATAACAAACAAAATTTCTGGAAAAGCAGAGGTGGGGTGGTGGCTGATGCTTTGTGAGCTTTTCTTCGGGAGACACAAACTACCAGATTCACTCTAGATAGGGCACTAAGGGCAGACCAAAATAACGGTTCCACTGAAGTTCAACGTGGTGAGCTTATTGTACTTACTTACAGAGCACAGGTGAGGGTGACCCCCCAAGCAGCTGCATCACCGAAAAATCTCACCTCATTATGAATGGTGACGTTATGCAAACTGTGCCATGGAGTCCCGTTTTCACTTAACCATTGACTTCCTATTTGCTGTAGCATTTCCCAAGATCACTTGCAGCTGGAGGAGGGCAGGAGACAAATAACGGTTGGACTCCCAGATAAAGGCCCCTCTTCCTTCTACTAGGGAATGTTAGCAGTATCAGTGACCATCTCCATAAACTCATCACTGTAATATTATATAGTGGGCTTGGCCCAGGGCTTGGTGTGTAGTGAGTATTACAACACAGACCCTCTTACTGTTTCTTCCCCCCCAAATGAGCCTCCCCTGCCCCCAGCTATCTTTCTAGGACAAACAATTGGTAAAGAAAAAAAAGCATTCTGTGCTACAGGCTGGTAGGCCCTCCCCCTTGTACCAGCAGGACAAGCTTCTGGTCCTTCCTGCTGCCTGCTCCATGACCCTTGGCCTGTAGGATAGGACAGACTGTAGTGCCTGTGTGGAGCTTGCCTATCTCCTGAAAATCCATGAGTCAGAAACACCTTTTCTTCTTGGGGTTTGAAGCAAAGACTCTCTGTCTCTGCCTCCCCCAACCCCTCATAACACACTCACAGACACACACTCACACACACACACTCGTTCCCTCTCTCCCAATAAAGACCTTCTGAAGGGTGATGTGTAACAGCTCCTCCCCATGGGCCTACCACCCTAATCTTCCTTTTTCACATTATGGCAATAGGTATTGAGTAAATGTTAACTTGGACTTTCATTCCAGGAGTTCAAGTTTCAGAGCAGGTCATAGAGAAGAGGCAGGAAGTGCATTTGATGGTAAATAGATTTTTGTCTTAAAGTAGCAACAAAAATGACAGGTAACAATTTATTCGGTACCTGTTACACAGCAGACCCTGGGTCAACACATTCTGTGAACTATGCCATTTAATACGGTAAGCCCACTGGGTAGTTAGCATCCAAAGCCGTTGCACAGATGATTAAACCATGGTGAAGGAGAAGTCACGAGGCCAACAATGGTAGATGGGGATTGGGACCCGCCTTCTGTGGTTCCACAGCCTAAGCTCCACACCATCGTGCTGTGTTCCCTCTGCCCACACATCCTCTCATTGGTTTCTAGATTATTTCAGAGCGCACCAAGCCCAGGATGCATGAGTTCCAGTCTGAGGTGTTCATGATTATTGGCGGCTGTACCAAAGAGGAACGATTTGTGGCAGAGGTAACCTGCCTGGACCCCCTGAGGCGCAGTCGCCTGGAGGTGGCCAAGCTCCCACTGACAGAGCATGAGCTGGAGAGTGAGAATAAGAAGTGGGTGGAGTTTGCCTGTGTGACGTTAAAAAACGAGGTCTACATCTCAGGTAAGTGGGAGGCTGGGATCAAAGCAGTCCCCCGATAACATCCTACACTTCCCTAAGTGTAGGAAACCAACCAACCGCCCTGCAAGAATGTCTGAGTTCACGGAGGTCTAGCTCTGTGGGTCAGGATATGGGACCAGGAGCTTAGGTGGTCTTGTCCTGGAGAAAACATTATCACTTAATAAATACTGAGATGTGAGCAGCACAGACAGCTCCAGCCCTCATGGAGGAACAAAAATGAGAGTAATATCAGGGCTTGTTCAGTCTGTTGTAGGCGCCGGGCACTGATCTGGGTATATGACTAGTAATGAAATGTCTTATCCCCCCATAAACCCAACCTTCCCAAATTTCTTAGACATTCTGTGATCCATGTCTACTGAAGTAATGTGAATACGTATTCATTTTCATTGCTAACATAATCATTAACAGTTCTTTGTGCTCACCTTCTCCTTAGACGTGAAGTTCCATGAGCGCTAACACTCTCTCTCTTACCTAGCAGTGAAGAGGCTCAGTAGATGTTTGTTAATGACGCAGTCGCTGTCATCTTTAGAGCTTAGTAGGTGAACCAACGGCATGCAATTACCAGTCACGGCGGGGGAGGCCAAATTATGAAGTAGGAAAAAACGGGGCTCAGAGAGGTTTTGGAAGGTAATGTAGGTTACATCCTGGTACTGGACAGAATCACCATCCAGGGCTAAGCCCAGTCCTTCTCATTCATATCCAATGGAAGACACAAACATTCCCTTCCTAATCCTATGTATTTGTGTCCTCCAGAGGGTAATGTTAGCTGTTCTCCAGTTCTATTCTTAATATTGATTAGGCTATAAGTTTCTTTTTACTACAGAAATACTACATGATTTGAACAATACGGAGAATAGAAAGTAAAATATGGCAGTTTTTCGGTTCCATGATAATTCCCCATGTTTTCATAATTTTCATAAAATTTTTTTTGTTTTGTTTTGTTTTGTTTTGTTTTTTCGAGACAGGGTTTCTCTGTGTAGCTTTGCGCCTTTCCTGGATCTCGCTCTGTAGACCAGGCTGGCCTCGAACTCACAGAGATCCGCCTGCCTCTGCCTCCCGTGTGCTGGGATTAAAGGCGTGCGCCACCACCGCCCGGCTAAAATATTTTTATATTCTATTAGGATGAGTAATATTAGCTATTTTTAACAAGTCCTAAGTCCCATCTAATGAATGAACACAGGGGTATGTGGGAGTGGTGGGGTCAGGAGGCCATCGCTCAACTTAGGCATTCAGGGACTCGGGTTCCTTCTGACTTGTGATTCTGCCATCTCCCACACGTGGCCTGAAAGAGAAGACACATCTATTCCACAAAGCCATGGCCTGCAAAGGCCGCAAATAGTCCACTGGTGAGAGCCAATAGTGTGCCCTTCTTTCCCAGAATAGATGTGGGGTTGGCAATGTCGTTAAGTTACTTGTCCAGGAAGGAAGGTTTGGTAATCAGAATTGATCTCTGCCACTGCACATGTATTTGCTATTTGTAATCTACTTGAAAAAAAATACTCTAACAGACATTCACACACACATAGTTTCTGCACTTGTGCAAAGACTCCTAGAAGTGGTCGTAAGGTCAGTGAATGCAGAATTTGTCAGATGCTATATTTGTCCTCTACAAAGATTATACATTTTAGCCGGGCGGTGGTGGCACAGGCCTTTAATCCCAGCACTTGGGAGGCAGAGCCAGGCGGATCTCTGTGAGTTCGAGGCCAGCCTGCAGCCTGATTTACAGAGCGAGATCTGGGACAGGCACCAAAACTAAACAGAGAAACCCTGTCTCGAAAAACCAAAAAAACAAACAAACAAACAAACAAAAAACCAGATTACACATTTTGTAGCTCAACCAGTGCCCATTTTCTACATCCTTAATAACAGTTGTTGCCGGGCAGTGGTGGCGCACGCCTTTAATCCCAGCACTCGGGAGGCAGAGCCAGGCGGATCTCTCTGAGTTCGAGGCCAGCCTGGACTACCAAGTAAGTTCCAGGAAAGGCGCAAAGCTACACAGAGAAACCCTGTCTTGAAAAACAAAAAACAACAACAACAACAAAAAAAAAAACAGTTGTTATCACCAATTATTTCTGATGTAATAAACTAAATATATACATTTGCACTCTTGTATCTTAGTGGTGTTGAGTTGATTTTCATAGAATACTGGCTAATTGGATTTATTTTAAAATATGTCTGCTCATACTCTTTGGCTGTTTTTCTATTGCTTCGTGTTTGTCTTTTGTTTACTAACTTTTTGCATTCCTTGTTAAATATCCTTTGCTTTGTGGTGTAAATACTTCCCCTTCAGATGGTGGCTGTCTTTTACCTTTGATTTGTATTTTCACAACTTTCTTTGCTGTGAGATTCTAATTTCATGTCATGTTCTCCAAATCCCTGAGTTAGTCTCCCGCATCCTCTAGTTACTCCCCCAAGTCACGTTGGGAAGTTGTTTAAATTATAAAGTGACATTGCTATAGCTAACTTGTCTCCAAATGGCCAACTGCTAAATAACATTTAACCATTTCTATGTATTTGAGTTGGTTTCTGTATTCAATTTTAATTGGTCAGTTTATCTAATCCTGTACTCACAGTATTTTCATTTTTAATGCTTTCAGTATATTTTCATATTTGGTAAAGGAAGCCTTTCTCCATTCTCCTTTTCCCAAAAGTCCTTCTGGCAATGGCGGAACGTGTGCTCCCTCACCTGCACCAGAGAGAGCTTTCCCCAGTGAATCTTAGAATTGTAGCGTTCCCTAAGCACTCTTAAGAGAACCGAGGACACAGACACCTGAGGGGCTTGGACAGCTGTTACAGCAGCTCTCCTCATCTCTGCATGCAATATGCTTTCCAAACTAACCAGGTGTTAAGTCACTAAGGAAAACATAGCGTTTGTTCTCTTTTATTTATTTATTTATTTATTTATTTATTTATTTATTTATTTATTTATTTATTTTTTGGTTTTTCGAGACAGGGTTTCTCTGTGTAGCTTTGTGCCTTTCCTGGAACTCACTTGGTAGTCCAGGCTGGCCTCGAACTCACAGAGATCCGCCTGGCTCTGCCTCCCGAGTGCTGGGATTAAAGGCGTGCGCCACCACCGCCCGGCTGTTCTCTTTTAATAAAGATCTCGTTGAAGGTTTTCATGGTGTTTTCTAATCTTCAGTGCCACCCAAAGGGAATCAATATCACGATGTCTTGAGTAGAGACCTCTGAAAAGTACAAAGCACAAAGACAAATGTTCAAGGCATGTGAGCACAGCACTAGGAAAGGAAGCACAGCCCCTCCACGGTCATGGGAGCAAACGGTGACACCCACCAACTTGGGGACACAGTCTAGATGCCAAGGAGCCAGGTTTGGCCGCACTTATACCCAGGAAGCCAATTAAACAGTAGTTAATAGTAAAAGCCAAGTAAAACACCCAAATTAATAGTAAAAAGCAGAAAGGCGATTTATTCAATGAGGCCACATTGGAAAGAGGGACAAAGGTGATCCAGTGACCCTGCTCAAGTTCATATCTGCAGCCCCAAACTAAAGCTACAGGCTTTTGACTTGATTTGCTTTGTTGAGACAGTGTCTCACTAAGTAGCCCTGGCAGCCTTGGAACTCTCTGTGTAGACCAGGTTGGCCTCAAATTCATAGAGATTCCGAACCACCTCTGCCTGTGGAGTTCTGGGATTAAAGAGATGGTACCACTGTACTGGTGAGATTAACGTGAATAGAGGCCCAAGGACATGGTACTGAGCAGCCAGCCCTCAGGACCACCAAGGTGTGGTCCTGCCCATCCACAGCCCACCCCTTGGCGGGGCTTCAGTCTGACCTGTCAAGGTTGTCTGAAAAGTTGCTAGAACTCTGTGGAATCTCTTTGTGGCAGACAAATTCTCCTCCCAGCCAGCGCTTCGCTCTCATCCTTTTTCATCTTCCAACGTGAGATTCCTGGAGAAATTCTCATTTCTGGGGTCCATGGTTTCATTTCAGTAGTAAGAGAGGTTGAGGGGCACAAGTGTCTCTTCAGAGAAGCTTCATTCTTGCCATGCGGGTTACATCGTGCCATTGTTCTCTATTTCAGAGAGAGAGAGAGAGAGAGAGAGAGAGAGAGAGAGAGAGAGAGAGAGAGAGAGAGAGAAGGAGGGAGGGAGGGAGGGCAATCTTGAAGGACTGTTGGAAGCATCTGTAAAAATTCACAAGCATGTGCCTTTCACCTAGACATCATAATTTTGTGTTTAAGATAGTTGTAAAGAAAACATTGGCCATTTTCCTCTCAAATGATCAATTGTAAGCATTTCATATTTCCATAATAAAAATTAATTAAAAAATAGGACAAGGCCCACTGCCATCTAGGGCTGCAGGAATGGGTTCCTTTGCTCTGCCAGCTAAAGAAGTAAAAGGCAGGAAAGGACTGCTATGAGAAATCTTAGGGAGCCCCAGAAGAGCCGCCTGATGGCACCCAGGAAGCCTGTTCTCTCTTTGGGGTGCTTAAAAAGATTTTCAGAATGGACTCAAATGAAGCTCAAGGCCATTAAACAGTTAATTAGAGTTGAAAAGAAAAAGCCAGGAGAGGAAAGCTGTAACTCTTGCAGCTGCCTGGAACCGAGGAGAGAAAAACAAGTCACACTGCTTTGGATAAGACAGCGTGGAGCTCCGCAGCTCCGCAGCTCCGCAGCTCCGCAGCTCCGCAGCTCCGCAGCTCCGCAGCTCCGCAGCTCCGCAGCTCCGAGGCTGGGGGTTGGGGTTGGGGGTTGGGGCTGGGGGTTGGGGGTTGGGGATGGGGGAATGCCTTTAGAAAGAGTGTGGATTCCCAAAGCATTGGTTAGGGAGTTTAAACCATGTTAAAGTTCTGGCCAGCATTTGCCAGAAAAAGACAGGAGAGAAGAGCTAGCAGTAGTGGGACCTGAGAAAGGCGCAGATGCAGCCCCACCTAAGGGTGGTCCAGCGTGGGGGCTGCCTGACTCAGGGAGGGCACTAGGGTGGGAATTCTGGGAAGGAAAAGGCACATTGTCTTAAGGTGGACCTGCCTTCCGGGGAGGATCCCCAGGCCCGATTCTGGCCTGTCCCACTGGATTAACCCTTGAGAGGAGGCAAAGGCTTGTCTCCACCTAGAGGTAGGTTCCATTCTTCGTACTACTTACTCTTTTACATAGATTGAAGATGGAAGTGAAAATGATGTTGTAAGGTCTCTTGGTAATTTCTTCCACACTGTTGCTACTTCTATTTTTTTTTTTTTTGTTAGAACATAAACTACTTCTAACTTCCTGGCTGTCGAGGCCTATCACTCTTGCTCAGCCTTGCTCTCTGCTTCTTGGGGTCACAAACACTGGATTAGACTCTCTTTGGCTCCAACCCATCCAGACTGACGTCACTGAAGCCTTCTCTGGGTCCTTTCACTTGGTTGGGCCCCCTTCCTGAGCTTTAGAGGCACAGCTCACAATCCCAGCCCTTGTGGTACCGCTCACCCTCCCAGCTTTTGTGGCACAGGCCACGGTCCCAGCTTTTGTGACACAGCCCACCCTCCCAGCTTTTGTGGCACAGCCCACCATTCTGCTTTTGTGGCACAGCCCACCATTCTGCTTTTGTGGCACAGCCCACCATCCCAGCTTTTGTGGCACAGCCCACCATCCCAGCTTTTGTGGCACAGCCCACCATTCTGCTTTTGTGGCATAGCCCACAGTGCTAGCTTTTGTGGCTTCTCATTCTTTTGAGTTTGCTTTGTCCCTCCTATCAGAACTTCAGGATTTCCCCTATCTCCCCTTAGCTGAGACTCAGCTGAAGACTTAGTACTTTTAGAGTTTGGAGAATGCTGGGGGAAAACATCTGCTTGATGTTTTTAAATGCTTTGTATCTCTTGTAGGTGGCAAAGAAACACAGCATGATGTTTGGAAATATAATTCTTCAATCAACAAATGGATTCAGATAGAATATTTAAACATAGGCCGCTGGAGGCATAAGATGGTTGTATTGGGTGGCAAAGTCTATGTAATTGGGGGGTTTGATGGCTTACAAAGGATCAACAATGTGGAGACTTATGACCCCTTCCACAACTGCTGGTCAGAGGTATGGGAGATTGTTTCTGTGAGTAATTTCAAAGCTTAAACAACAACAACAAAACAAAAGCCCTGCCTGTGGTGGTGGCTGGTGATCGATTACTTTGACCCTGCCTATGGTGGTGGCTGGTGATCGATCACTTTGCTCCCATAGACATCTTCTTGGCTCTGAGCTTCTCCCTTCCTAGGAGCCATGAGTCAACATTACTGATCCAGTTCCACTAATAACGTTCTTCCAAGTGGCAGGGCTCTGTGTAGGCATTGTCCTGTGCTAGTGAGGTCCCCAGACATGGAGGGAGGCTGAGTCTACTCTAAGATGGTTAACTCCATTGGTCGCATGTCCTGGCCCAGAATCTGTCTCCTCAGAATCCTTCTGTCCTGCAGCTCTTCATACCAGAAACCCAAGGATCCATTTCCTCCACCTTTTGTGAACCCAGGGTCATTTGGTTATAATTAGAAGTCAGGGTGTATTTATTTTCTCCTTAATGATGAGCCGTTTACAGGCCTTTGTGCAAGTCTCTAGCAAAGCTACCTCTGGTTAAAAACTGCCCCAGGATCAGAAAACAACCTTATCACCAGCATTTCCAGACCATTCTCAAGTGCAGATTTCCTTTGTTATGGTCAGAGCTTGTTCCAGCTTCAGAAAGTTTAAAACGTGGTCACTGTAAGCACAAGGGAAGGATATCATCATGTTGCCATGACATCCCCCACAGATTCACCAGCATATGTGTATAACCTTAAACCGACATTGGCACCTAGTAACTGACCACAGAATGAATATGAATATGCTGGCTTCATGTCCACAGACATTTAGTCTTGCCTGTATCTCTCCTTCCCTGAGAGCTGGACTCTGGCTTAAACAAGCAGGACCAGCTTGGACACAGCTTGCTCCAGGCTTCCTAGAGCCTGTAGAGACAGTGGGTTTTGTTTCTCTCTGCATTTTATTGGGAGCCATGTCATTTCCATCGAAGCATGCCCACGTATGTGTTCTGTGAGCTTCTCCTACAATCTGAGCAGCGCACTGACTTCTTGTGCCCTCTGCCTCTGCAGGCCGCACCCCTCCTTGTCCATGTCAGTTCCTTTGCGGCTGCTAGCCACAAGAAGAAGCTGTATGTCATTGGAGGAGGACCCAATGGGAAGCTGGCCACAGACAAGACTCAGTGTTATGATCCTTCGACCAATAAATGGGTTTTGAAGTCGGCCATGCCAGTAGAGGCTAAATGCATCAATGCAGTGAGTTTCCAGGATCACATCTATGTTGTTGGTGAGTCAGTGATGACTTCTTACATCTGTAGCCACTCGCCCCCATAGCCACCTGGGAGACAAGATACTATCTTTTCAGAATGCCTGGGTGATGTGGATAAGGCTGAAAAGGAAGAGAAGGTGGTTTTGGACCAGGCCTTGTTGGAATTTCCCTTGAAGTCCTGGAGGTAGAAATAGCCACACAAAGCATGGAAGCTGTAGTCAGTAGAGGAGGCCAGAGGTCACAGCAGGACTAAAATTGTATTGCAAACTCCGCAAATACACAGAAATTGAAGCATGCCGTGTAACAAGTGCTCAGCAAATAGGAAACATTTGTGTGTTTTAGTTTGCATCATGGGAATGTTCCTCTCCTGCTTGGTTTTAGGGGCCTAAAAAAGTGTACTTAGTTGAGAGGAAGCCTTGGCCAGCAAGACCACAGTTGGCATGTGATTTTTAAAGACTGGTGATTCAGTCCTGACCATTCCTTAGGATTACCAGGAAGCACTCTATAAAATTACAATAGCCAGGCCTATGCCAGGCATGTGAAATGAGGAGGGGAAGAAGGGTCTCTGGGAATAGTACGACTGTGTTCTTTAAAACTCCAGCTGATGTTAATGTGCAGCCACGATAGAGAACTACTGATTCAAGAGATGCCAGAATACAAATAGCTTCCGTCCGTGATTAATCAGGGCTAATCAGAGAAGGCATTGGGGGGTAAAACACTGGGATACATTGTACAAAGCTCTGCCTTGCCTCAGGTCTCTTGAAATTTTGCTTGTGGTCAGGCTCCCAAAGGTTTCAAAAATCCAGTATCAGGATGAGCCTGCTAGATCGATGTCTTCCATCGATATCTCTAGAGAGATGTCGTTCCTAGTTAATGCCCAAATGATGACTTTTAGGAACCGCCTCCGCTCACGGTCCTTGTGTTACTTTATAAACACTGTGGTTTTAGTGCTTAGGGTCACAGATCAGAACGCAGCCAGGCTGAGGTACCCGAGGCATCAGCTGGGGTTCCTCCAGGGAGCCAGTCTTAAGGTAAGTCAGGCGTCTTTTCGAACCAGATTCCCACCTGGTCAGAATTTAAAGGAGATGAGGTTTCTCCCACATTACTAACCCGGGGATCCATTCTGGCTTTCTGGGAAGAAAGCCACCAGTCTACCGTTTTCTCTGGTAAGGTGGTAGATCTGGCCTGATCGGAAGTAGAACTCTTGTGATTAGTGAGCAAAGACCCAGAGAGCTGCCCAGCATGCCTGTTGGTTCTTTGCAGGCGGTGCCATGCGAGCGCTCTATGCCTACAGCCCTCTGGAGGACAGCTGGTGCCTGGTGACGCAGCTCAGTCACGAGCGGGCCAGCTGTGGCATCGCGCCCTGCAACAACAAGCTCTACATCACCGGCGGGAGGGACGAGAAGAACGAGGTCATCGCCACAGTGCTCTGCTGGGACCCCGAGGCTCAGAAGCTGACGGAGGAATGTGTCCTGCCGCGCGGCGTGTCCCACCACGGCAGCGTCACTATCAGGAAGTCGTATACCCACATCCGGCGGGTTGTGCCTGGGGCCGTGTCTGTGTGACTGCCAGGGGGACCCAAGAAGGTGCCCTCGGAGCCTCTGAGCGCTGATTCTGCACCCTAGCTCGTGCAGGTTCCTTGTGAGCCTTAGGCTTGGCTTGGATTCGGCACCCTAGCTCGCTCAGGTCCCCTGTGAGCCTTAGGCTTGGCTTGGGTTTAAGGCTTATCGTAGGGGGCACCTTATGAGACCAGCCGGGAATGCTTGTGTGACCTACCTCAGGATGAAGGGTAATGTTTAACATTCCATACATGCCTACCCGCCCTGGCCTGTGCCAGCCACTCATCCATGGTAATTCGCTGAACTGTGGTAATGACCTGCTGCCGGATAGTGTCACGCCTGTCTTAGAGGTGAAGAAAAGGAATTTCAGACAGGCCAGCTTTCACCAGGTCACTCAGAGAGCAAGCCGCTAAGCCAGCCAGAATAAACCCAGGTCTTTCCATGTCTGTCGGTGTCTCTCACACGACATGGCTTAACTTGGGAAAACTGAAAGCCAACCCCAAACTTGGCTGGTGTCTCCTTCTGGCAATGTGACTGAAGACAAGGGAATAAATGAGTTTTTCTGTGCTGTCTTCCTTGTATTCCTTGTCCGTAGGAGACACTGGTCTTGGAGCCTTTGGGGCCGCTTGTCAAGAGCATCTCCCACGATCTCCCACCAGACATGTCTGCTGGGACTAGTCTGGGAAGGCCCATTTGTTTGGAAAAAGCTGAAAGACATGTCCCGTTTCCCCCCACATCGTAACTGTTGTTTTACAGGATGTGTGTGCCATTTTGGACTAGGACTATCACGGCCAGTTAGTGGCTGGGGGTGGGTGGCTCCGTGGATAAAGCTCTTGCTGAACAAGCCTGAAGACCAGTGTTAGGAGCCTAGAGCCCATGTGGAAGCTGAGCAGGCCTGGCTGCCTGCAGTCCCAGTGCTTGGGAAGCAGACCCAGGGCTTCCCTAGGGCAAGCTGGGCAGGTCAGTCAGTCAGGAGACCGGGTCAGTGAATGAAAATGGACTGTGATTACCTGGAAGAGGGCTCAGCCGTGGAAAGTGGGGAGTGACTGAGGAAGTCATTTGACATCAACTTGGAGTCTTCGCACTTGTGAACACACACCCACACCACATACACATTAAAAAAATAAAATTGAATTAAAAATTTAAAAACGTTTTTGAAGTATTACCTTACCTTCTCAATGGTTTGGTGTCCTGGCCTCTCAGTGTGCAAATACTGTTTTGTGTTTTCTCTCCCCACCTCTCAGGAACACCTTCAGACTACTGGCCACGTCTTCTAAATAGTGCTACATTATCCAAGATTCCTTATTCTCATGGTAGAAGTTCTCTTTGTAGAGTTGCCCTTCATGTCAGAAGGTCATACTGTGCTTATACACCTCAGCAGTTTGAGAAGTCAGTGGAATTAGAGTTGATAGTGAATTTATTTTTTATTAAAAAGTTATGTCTGGGGCTGGAGAGATGACTCAGAGGTTAAGAGCACTGGCTGTTCTTCTAGAGGTCCTGAGTTCAATTCCCAGCAACCACATGGTGGCTCACAACCATCAATAATGAGATCTGGTGCCCTCTTCTGGCCTGCAGGCATACACGCAGGCAGAACATTGTATACATAATAAATAAATTTAAAAAAAAAGTTATGTCTGGAAGAAACTACTGTTTAAACTAGATTTTGAAACCTTGGAAATTCCAGTTATTTCTACTTCTACCTAGATTTTTGAGGATAAACAGAAATACACATCAGTGTGTGCATTGCTCTATCTTCTCGTCAAGCATGACAGTTCTGCTCCTGGCTATGGGATGGAAGATGGGACAATACCTTTGTACATTCTTTCTTCTCCATGTTCATACATTTAGAACACATTGTCACTCATGAGCACTAACCACATTCACAGTATTCTCAACTGAAACAGTTTGCTCTAGTTCAACTCATCAAGTATTCATGGAGTCTTCCATGCTTGTTGAGACTCAGGTCTGACTAGTGAATGACAAATCACTTCCCTAGAGACACTCAAAAAATAAGAAAAAGGCTCACCAGACAGTATTCTAATTCACCCTTTCCTTGAGTTAACTGAAAGTGAGAGGCGCATGAACTCATGAGGCTGCATCCATGTTTTGGCTGCCTGCTGTGGGTCCCTTCTGAAATCCAGGCATTAAGGTTAGCTAGTGAAGTTGCTTATGTGATTCTCTCTGAGCTTGAGGGTGGAATCCATTTGTGAGCACAGGAAAAGTCAGTCTGGTCCAAAGACCGGTCCAGGGAAGAGCTGCTGAAGAGCAAATGCCATGACAACATCATCAGCATGTACAGAGTTTTCCCTCAGATCTCTGGAGAGCTGGTGTCTACCTTTAGATGAGATTGATCAGTACACAGTTCAGTCTGTGGCACACTGAGGAGGTACGGACTTTGAATCTGACTTACAGATCTCACTCAAAGCAGAGGTCTTGAGTTTCAGGACTAGTTCAGAATTCATAGGAGCTCCTAAGGAAGGACTGTATGATTTTTATACTACCAGAAAAGCATGTGAATTGTCGCAAAGTCACAGGTACTTGTACTCAAGAAACAAGGATCCTCAGGAGTGCATGGGAGTGGGAACACACATTCTTGTGAAAAGATTTAGCCTTCTATATTTGAAGCTGCCCAGCTCATGAAAAAAAAAAAATCATTGTTATTCTGAGTACAGTTTGTAGAGCAATCAGGGTTTGGGTTTCCAGGTGTCAGAGGTGTGGGCGTGGCTTTCAAAGGCAGGCGCTAAGGCTTTCAGGTTCTTGTGCCTCTTTCCGGTGAATCCCACAGAGACACGTGAATGGTTGCTGGAAAAAAGCTGGCTTGTTAAGGGGAGACACAGAGAGGCCTGGAGTGTGCCCGGTGACCTGCCTCCAAGAGTGCTTGAAGGGAGAGAAGGGCTGGAGTGAGGGCTCCAGTGAGCTATTTCCATAGTACCGGTGTCACCCAAGTTCATACAACACAGGTTTCTCCCAGCATGCTTTCTTGGCTGAATGAAGTTAGACCAAAGGCTTTTCCCTGATGTCAGCCTTTGTTAATCTTTGGAATTTCCTCTTACACTGTTTTCGTGCCACATCCATACTAAGCCAGGTTTCTTTTCTAAGGTTTCATTGCTCTTCTGTTGTGATAAAATAGCACACTGTGATAAATACACCACGACCCAAAAGAACTTCTTTTAGCTTACAGTTCCAAAGGAAGTCTTTTACGGTGAGGAGGCATGGCACAGGTAGCCAGAGCCAGAAGCTGAGAGTCCCATCTTTAACCACAAACACAGAAAAGAGAGTGGGAAAGGCTATGAACTCACAAAGCCTATCCATTCATGTACTTTCTCTAGCTAGGCTGCACCACCTCTCCAAATAGTACCACCAGTTTGGGGACCAAGTGTTCAAATACCTGGCGGAGCCTATGGGGGAGGGGGAGTATTTCTTACTTAAACTGCCACATAAGGCAAAACCCAAACCGAAATAAAACAAAAACCCCAAACATTACTAATGAAACTCTACCAAAATCATCAGCAAATTAACTATTCTAACCTACATTACCACTATGGGGAGAGCTGGGGACTACCTCAGAGCCCGAGTACCCCAGGTCTCAATGAGGATGCCACAGGACATTCAAATATTGCAGTCTACATGTTGAAGCCGATCCCGAGTGGCCGAGCATCCCTGATAGAGAGGAGGTGGAGGTCAGCAGCTAAGGATGAGGGTATGGAAAAACAAAGATTCTGGAGTTTGTGAGCATGCTTGCAAGAGGAAAAGGGAATGAGGACTAGGCTTTCCAAGCAAGGAAGCAAAGAAGGGATCCATTGTTGAGACTTGAGGCATGAGTCTGAGCAAGATCAGCAAGCAGGCAATTTGCTGTGGGGCCTTTGAGTTCCCTGGTTGTCTCTTCATCCCAGTGGATCCAGAGAATAGGGTCAATTCTTTGATGGAGCAGAGTGTTGTGGAATATTAGTTTAAGATGTGTTATGTTTGTTTATGCAGTGGGGTGTTTGTTTAATGGTGCAAAGATGTATTGCATTCTTCTATGTTACATTTGTTTAATTCTGTAAAGCTGTGTTTGCCTGTCTAAAACAGCTGATTGGTCTAATAAAGAGCCGAATAGCCAGTGGCTAGGCAGGAGAAAGGATAGGTGGGGCTGCCATGCAGAGAGAATGAATAGGAGGAGAAATCTAGGAGAAGAGGGAGGAGTGAGAAAAGGAGGAGAGGAGGACACCAGGGGCCACCCACCCAGCCACCCAGCCACCCAGCCACCCAGCCACACAGCCACACAGCCACCCAGCCACACAGCCACCCAGCCACACAGCCACCCAGCCAGCCACGGAATAAGAAATAAAGATATATAGAATAAAGAAAGGTAAAAAGCCCAGAGGCAAAACATAGTTAAAGAGAAATGGAATAATTTAAGTTAGAAAAACTGGCTAGAAACAAGTCAAGCTAAGACCAGGCATTCATAAGTAAGAATAAGTCTCCATGTATTTATTTGGGAGCTGGGTGGTGGACCCCCAAAGAGGAAAAAACAGAAAGAAAGAAAGAAACAAACAAACAAACGAACAAACAAAACAAAGCTACAGTAGAGTCTATAGATGAAGTTAAGGGGCCATAGTGAACAAGGCATGAGCTAAATTCACCAAAATCCCACCATGTTCTCTTCTTAGTGTTCATTTACTCTGGTCTCAGTGGCTTCAGGAAACAAGCACATATACTCTGCCCTTGGACTCAAAGCAAACTCTGCTATCAGGGAAATAAAACTGTCTGGGTAAACACAGCTTTGCTATTTCTACCTGTCCTGACGAGGAAGGAAAACAGTAAAGGAGGCAATTCCACCAGCCTGGCAGACCTTAGTTCATTCCTTCATTCAGTCAAGCATGCTCTGAAAAACCCACATCATATGACCTTAGATGATGACTCATAAAAAGTCACTGGAGACCTCACCCCAGCCCTTCTCTCCCTTCTAGCCCAGATACCCCAAATTCTATGTTCCAATGTGAAAGAAGTTTCCTAATTTTTATAGAACAAAGAAATCAAGGCAAGGTTAACATACATGGGTGGGTACATCAGAGAGGCAGTCACAGCAAGACGGGAGATTTTTCTATAGACCTCAGATGCTCTGCAGATGTTCTTAGATTCTGAGTTGGTGGAAGCTAGTGGTCTGCTAAGTTAATAGATTTCAAAAGGTTTTAAATCTATTTGTCACAGGACATTAGTTAGGACACAGAGGGGGACAAAGGATGGCTGCTCTAGGGACTGAAGCTAGCCCAAGATCAGGTAGTCAGCTCTGGACCGGCATCATTCCAACCCCTCCACATTGCTGTGATTTTAATCAGTTTCTTTTCAGGAATTCTTGTTCATAGTGACAAGTACATGGTCAAGATGGCAGCGCCCGAAGCACTAATGTCCTAAAAGGCTCAAGGACGCTGGGAACACTCCGGAAAGATGACACACTGATAACATCTGCAGGCAGTTAGGACGCCCCCCCCCCCCCAAGCTCCCGATAAGAGGGTCAACCAACCGATCTCTGTTGATATTATACAACGTGAGACTGCAGGACCAGATCTGCAGATGAAATCTTCCCCCC